TGATGCGTAAGTCAAGTCGGTCACGTTTCTCAAACCATGTCCATTACATGCTTTGCACGTGATAATAAGTCAAACCCTTGATCCAACGTCAAGTGGATTTTCCTAACAAACTATCAATCAATTAACAACTATTCAATTCTTTTCAAGGTGTAAAGAGTAGGTTCAAGTCTTCGATCTTGCTTTCAGTTGTTTATATGCGAGTTATCTTATTCGTATGTGAGCAATTGACGCCTTTAAATAACATTAACAACTTGACAACGTTCAACCATTATCCAACTACTCATCCTTCCAATCTACATTTCAAACTCAAACAAATTTCTTTTCACGATGAAAAAGAGAGGGTTCCAAGTCTTTGGTTCGCTCCCCCGACTACTTGGGTCCGAGAAGCCTTTCTTAAGCTTCAAGTAGTCGTCATCCAATCAACCTCACCATTCAAACAACCTTCCTTTTCGATGAAAAAAGAGAGAGTTCCAAGTCTTTGGTTCGCTCTCCCGACTACTTGGGTCCGAGAAGCCTTTCTTAAGCTTCAAGTAATCGTCATCAATTCAACTTTACCCCTTCAAACACAACCTTATTCTTCAAGATGAAAAAGAGAGAGTTCCAAGTCTTTGGTTCACTCTCACGATTACTTGGGTCCGAGAAGTCTTTCTTAAACTTCAAGTAGTCTTCATCCGTACCCACTTCAAATCCAATTCGATCCACTTTCTTTCATGGTCGTTACCACGAACTACGACTGATCTGATTCTTCATTCATTCTTGAATGTAAGATACGTAGGCACAAGATTGCGATGATCTTGGCGAGCACAATTCCCTGCATCTTTCATTTCCCCTATCCTTTCCCGTAGTCGAACTACGACGCTCTGATTTCTCATTCTCGTCTGAATGAGCATACGTAGGCACAAGGGCCCCAATCCTTGGCGAGCACCCTATCCTTTAACCATCCCCCTCCCCCTAGCGTCTTTAGCCTTTATAGTACCGTTTTAGCATTTAGTAGTGAGAAGAGAAGAATTAAGCTTAGCTAACATCCATCACAACTCGAATTAAGAGGTTCCCGTTGAGTACAACGGACGTGAGGGGTGCTAATACCTTCCCCTCGCGTAACTGACTCCCGAACCCAGGAACATTTGGTTGCAACGGCCGTGTTCCTTCCGCGCTTATGAGGTTTTCTCGATATTTTCCTCTCCCGTTCATTCGGGAAAAATAAAGTTCGGTGGCGACTCTGTCGAACCGCATTTCCGCGCCTTTTGCGCGAGGGTCGTATGTTCGAAATGAATTTTCGAGGTGCGACAGCAGAGTCGCCACTTTTCTTTAGCGGTAAAAATTATGAGTATAAGTCATTGATTAACTTAACTCATAAAACAAGAGTCTCCACCGCACTTTTATTTTATCCAAAGGAAAGGAAAAAGAGCGAACAAACCTAAAGAAGTTCTAAAACAAGAACAAATTAACAAATTCAGGGTAAGGGGGTTGTTTATGCAAAGGGAAATTTAGTGTTATGTTAAGCGATCGTAGCACAACCTATAAGAAAGGTCATACTATAGGAGGTCGGTCAATAACAATATTTGTGCTAATGCAAGCTAGAGAATGACATGTAAGTCATTATCCTAAAGCTTACCACACAAAAATAAAAAGGAGTAGCTCATTTTAATCAAGAACTTCAAAAGTTCCATGATGTTAAATATTTTCATCAACCAAAATATAAAAGAGAAAGGAGATGAAGAAGAGGTAGCAAGGTCAATCAAGATCAACCATCCATTTTGGTGGATTAGGATTTTCACCCTATCAACACCCAACAGTTAACAAAGGTCAAACAAGAATAAAATGCAATAAAATAAAATAATATGCATCAAAATGATTTTTAAAATGAATAAAAAAAGAAAATAAACATAAAAATGAAAAAGATGCATCAAACAAAATCACAAATGATCAAGAAAAATCCAGAAAGTCTGAAACAACTCAAGGATCATATGCAAAAATTTTTAGAAATTAAAAATGCATAAAAATATTTTTTTTAACTATTTAAAACATATATTAAAAGGAGAAAATCATGAAAAATAGCAAATGTTGAAATCACAATGCATGAAAATGCTCAAAAAATAGGAAATATTTTTATGAAACTATGAAAAAAATTGGAGTGAAAAATATTAATGTAGTTACTATTTTTATGATTTTTTGAAGTTTAATGCAATTTTAAAATAAAATCATAAAAAAATAATAAGAGAAAAAACAGGGCGCGTTAGATCAAGCCTCATTAATTGATGTGGCAGATCCAACGCACATGAGATGAGGGAACATAATTGGACACGCGCAAGGAAAAGCATCAGATCACATTTAAATCTAGCCAATGAAAACAATTCAAATTTCCAACGTGGTGCCACACAGGTCATAGTTCTCAGCCTCTCTGATCATCTTCTCTGGTGAGCTCTCACCAGAGTTCTGGAGAACAGTTACTTCATGTCATGAGACCTATGTCATTTTGACTGTCCTCCATTTTCATTTATAGAAAAGAAAAGAGAAGAATTTTGGAGAAATACAGAAATGAACACAGACACTCAAACAAAACTTAAATGATCAATTCAAGAAATCAACATCAGATAAGTTAGGGGAAATGATCAGCAAGTAAAGTTCTACATTGTGGTAACTTGTTTGAAGCGAATTGAAGCTTCTAACTACCTTGTTGAGATGGTGGCCAGAGGTTGAAGAAGCTTGATATGGTCAGAGCACTTTAGAAGGTCTGGGAGCTTGAGACTTGATGCAAAAGCTTCAGAGGAGGCTAATGAAGGTATTAGAACAAAAAAGTTGGGTTGAGAATGGCTAGAACTAAAAACCCAATGGTGAAATTTCTGGGGAAATTTTGAAGTCCAAGCAAGGGTTCAATGGCTATCAAAATCTTGAAATGAAGGTAGTGAGGTCCTCTATTTATAGCTGAAGATGATGGAATGTTGAGAGGGTGAATTGAGAGGAAATTGAGTGTGATCGTGTACACCTTTGGTCATGAGGAAAGTGTGACTTGAAATCACCCAAAACTCAGCTAAAACTTGTGTTTCAAGGTTCAATTAAACTTTGGACACTTTACTAAACATGGTTAAGTGGTTAAGTCATGCCAAATTGGTCTATAATTGAAGATTAGGTGAATAAAAGTTTTGATCATAGAGCTTTCTTCAGTTTCAAGTCACCGTGTTCAACTCAATGGGGCATCCTATTCAAGAGGCTTTTTGATCCCATTCTTCTTGCAATGTGTTATCCACGTGACCTATTTTAAAATGTGCCAAGAAAGTATTCATTTGGAAATATAAGGAAAATTTTATGGTGTGTTGAAGTTGGCATGAAAAACTAGTCATTGTACTTAGAAAATCTCTTAGGCAGAAAATGACCTATAATGTTCTAACAAATTCCAAGGCCTTCCAAGCATAATTTGATCTTGATCATTGAAGAAAACTTGTAGAGGGTATTGTAAATGATATTATGCAAAAATAATAAACCTCAAAGGATAAAAATTTAAGAAGTTGTGATCCTTAAAAGATGAAAAAAAGTCACTTGGAAATAGGTCAAATTTCAATAAGTCCACAAATGACCTATAATGTCTTCAAACTTTTGATGATCCTCCAAGCATAATTGGCTCTTGTTATGTAGATAGAAGTTGTAGGGGATATTTGGAATAGTCATATGCAAAAAAGAAGCACTTAAAAATATGCAGAATTGAAGGAGTTGTAGTCCTTGGAACTTTGATTTGAAAATGTTGACTTTTTGGTCAAACCTTCTTGAATCAACTTGTGCACTTGAGGTTTTCTTGCATTTCAAGTTACATGGATGATCTTATGAAATAAAAATAATATTTCCTTGAATTCCCTTTGATTAAAATGACCAATGCTTGAGATAACTTGTTGAAGAAGGATGGAAAAAAACACATGAACCTTTGACTTTTCTTAAGAAACAAGCTAGACAACCTTGAGGTATTCTTGATCCAAATGATATTGAAAGATGTTTTATGCCCATAGATCTTGAGATTAAAATCCATTTCTTGAGAGGAAATCCCTTGAGAATCAATGGATGATCACACTTTGCCTTGAGAGAACACAACCCTAGCTAAGGAACCAAGCATGGTGCTCTTGATGAAATGCTCTACCTTGCACAAAGCTTTAAGAAACAAGACATAATTTTGCATTTTGATTAGTGTTTAGACAAAAATAAGCATATAAACATAAACATAAACACACATAAAAAGTTCCTTGGTGACCTCTGCAAAGGCATACCCCAAAGGATAAGAAGGAGGGAAGAACCAAGCATATGATCTTGTTTTTGGGAAAAAATGCAAATGATATGTGGGATCTTAGGGTTAAAAATTAGGGTATGACAACTAGGTTTTTCTAATTCAAATAAAAAAACACCACGGGAAGAAGATGATCTGAAAGATAGGAGCGCCAAAAAGATTAAAAATGGAGAGGAGATATTCATGCCCTTATCCACCAATCAGTTAATAGACAATGACAACCTAAAGAGGGAAGATGATCGTATAAAGAATACTAGTGTGGTATTATATAAGGCTATGGTGAGTGGAGAAAAGTATGATGACAAGGAAGAGATAGAGGATTAAACTACTGAAGGAATTTGGGAAGTCAAAAGAACATAGGAAGGTTTAAGGGTTGAAAAAAAGAAGTATAGAGAATATGATTGCCCTGAAATCATACTATCAGACATGGAGGAAAAGATAACTCCTAAGCCTCGGAACAAGGGAGTGATAGTCAAAATTTGGGAAGAAGAATAAGATACAAGGCTCTAGATATTAGAGTTCAACATATGTGAGCGAGAAGAGGGGTGTTGAACATGGTTGATCTTGCCTGAGAATATTATCTAGTTACTTTTAACAGTGAAAAAATCATGAATTTGGACTATTGGAGGGGTCATGGCTAATTTATGATCATTATCTCTCGGTAAGGGAATGGAACGCATACTTCTGCCCATCAGGAGATGCAATTGAGAAGCTTGTTATATGGGTCAAAATGTCATGTCTCCCCATTGGGTACTATGGAAAAAGTGTTCTTGCATTTATTGGTGATCATATTTGGAAAAAAACTATTAAAATAGATAAGAGCACTCTTACTAGAGAACGAGGCAAGTATGCACAACTACGTATACAAGTAGATCTAACTAAGCCTTTACTTGCGATGTTTTCCATCAAAGGGAAGCATTACAAGGTAGAGTATGAGGGTTTCCATCTCTTGTGTCTCACTTGTGGAAGGTTCAGGCGTCATGTTAAAGTTTGTGGGGAGAAAAAGGAAGTGACTATGATGGAAGAGGGGTTGAACGAATCAATCATTATAGGAGATTCTAATAAGAGTGATAAGACTCTGATGGATAATCTAGGGCCTTATTTGGTTGTTCAGAAGATCAAAAGGTCAAGGTGAAGCAAGCAGGATACCAAAAAGGAATGGTGTGTTGCACCCACAAGTTGTGCTCTGATGAAGAATGATGCAACCAATTCTAGAACGCAACATTAGGGGTTGAAATTTAATGCTCTTGAAGAAAAATTAACTAGAGTTATTGAGAATGAAGATTGTAACGTAAATGTGGTGAGTGGAAAGTGTAACGTAAATGAAAAAACATGTAGCTTAGCGGAAAGGAGGGAAGAAGGAGAAAATTTAAATGGCCAAATGAGGATGAAGCAAGTGGAAAAAGAAGTAAGGAAATACAAACAAATAAGAAAAAAAAGAAAGATAAATTAGTGGTATTCTTACGTGGCATCAAAAAAATAATCAATAGAGGGTTGCACGTGAGAGAGGTGGAGTGGAAGTTGAAAAAGTACTAGGAGAGAAGCAAGTTCATGAAAGGGCAAATGATTTGTCTATTGATGATGGAAGAATTATTGGAGGAAAAATCACTGAGGTCGATAGAGACCAACCCAGTAGCAAAAGCTAGAGTATCTATAGGAATGGACCCGCCAGACTACATCCCTGTTATAATTTCATATCAAAATGACATCAGCTTTGAGGAAGAAAGAGGGAATGAAGCGGCGTCGATCAAGAAAGATGAAGGAAAGGTGGAAGAAGAGGATAACTTAGATATGGAGTTGGTGGAGGAGACTCTGGGTGTTTGGCAAGAGGTCACAATTCTCAACTAATATTTTTTAATGATCAAAGACCAATGCAAAATTATGCTTTAAAATTGTCAAGGAGCATGAAGTTGGGCTTTCAGCCGCTTTTGTCAATATTATTTGTGTCAAAATCATCCTGATATGTTTATTATGATGGAAACAAGAATTGATCCTTCAAAACTTTGTAATAAGTTCAATAATCTAGGTTTCTATGGTTATGAATATACATATGTTAGAGGATATGCATGCGAGATAGCTATGGGGTAGAAGACAAACAAAATAATGGTCATAACTATTAGGAAGCAATTCCAATTTATTCAAGCCAAAGTTAAAATGGAAGATAAGGTAAATTAGATGATAACTATTGTCTATGCAAGTCCTAGAGAAGACGGGAGCAAAGATCTTTGGAGTGAGTTATGGCTTCTTGGTGGTGACTTCAATGACATTTTGACTGGGTAAAAGAAGAGGGGAGGCGCTACTCTTTCAGCTAGGAAGTGTGCTTTGTTCAAAGACAAAATTAATGGATGCAATCTTATGGATCTAAGTTCAATTTTCTATAAGTAAGTTGGAAGGTTCCTATGAGTCATGGAGAATTGAGAATATATGAAAGACTAGATAGAGTGTTGAGCAATGATGAATGAAGGCTCTAATTTTCTGATACTCAGTTTTCTTTCTAAAAACACTAAGAGATTGACTTCCTCGTACTAACTCGAGGAGAGTATTAAAAGATGGGTTAAGGTATGTGTGTTTCTTGTATATTGTCCCCCTTCCTTCCAAATCCTTTCCTATTTGTAGGTCTCCACTCCCTCTCCTCCCCCCGTTTTACTCTTCAAATTCCTTATAAAATCCTTCAAGTAACGTATTACGTCTCTTATAATTGCTATGTAACGCCTACCCCTTCAATAATTGTAACTCTTTGTTCATAATGTATTATTTCATAACTGTCTCTAGTAACCTTTCATATGGAATCCGAGCCTTGTCACTGGTCCCGAATTGTATGAGTCTTGGTTCATACGAGGTTGGTTCTGCCTTGTTTTATCTTGCTATCCCTAACTGGAATCCGATTTATAGGTAGGAATATGACTTTTCGGCTTGTTAGTCGTATCATGCTCGACTGTCCTTATCGTCGGGTTTAGACCTTAGCCACTCAACATAATTTTTGAGTATGTACATGAGCTCCCAGAGCATGAAGCCCAGAGGATTGTATTGTTCAGACAAAGTAGTTCCCAAAAATTACTGTCGCGCTCCCTGTTGAAGCGTTCCTTTAGTGACTTGTCACGGTATATCTTTTGCCATATTTTCTTTTATCTCAGCAACAATGATTTTTATGGGAATTTGATCCTTTCTTACACTTTCAAAGTTTTGAATTCCTTGAGTCTTTAAAGAGGTTCCTCTTGCATTGAGGTTACCCATTCTTCTCCTTATTCATCTTAATCTCCTCTGAATCGATTTTTAAAGTTCTCACTCCTTTGTCAAGATCAGGTATACTCATTTTTACTTCTTTTTTTGTGCTCTTTAATATGACTATTGATTCTTTTAATGATAATATTGATTCGTCAAGAACCCTGAGTGCTCGAGAGATAAAAGATCTTTAGGATTTTTATGTGAGATGTCGCAGGGATACTTTGACCCAGACTGAGTTTGGTTATATTTTAAGGGAGGTTTACGGGACATTTCCAATTCTTTTAGTGATTCTGACTCCAAATCTTCTTCATCAGGTTCCTCCGTAAAGGTGTTGATAGAGATTACAGACTCGTTTGATGCGGAAGTAATGAGTTACGACCATAGTTCATTTGACGACCTTGCAATTGCTAAACTTCATTCTCTGAGAAACATTTCCTAACATGGTAACGAAAATGATGTTATTTTGGAACCTCGTATTCCCATGGAACACATTTGCATAGTTCGTCCTAAGGGAGTTAAAGAGGAATACTTCCATTTTCATGTCAGGGTGTTAAAGGAAATTAAATTCAAACTTCCCTTTACCGATTTCGAATCAGTTTTATTAAAGGTTTTAATACTGCTCCTTCTCAGCTCTGCCCCAATAGTTAGGATATTATAAAGGCCTTTGAAATAGTTTGTAAAGCCATGCATATAGAGCCTACCGTAGGTTTATTTTTCTCCTTATTTAAAATTAAAGGCGTCGAAAAGGGATGCTAGTTTAAAATCAGCAAGCTTTTAGGCAAGAGCTTTCTTCAAGCCTTTACCTCTAACTATAAAGGTTTTAAAGACTGGTTCCTTCTTATTAAATGTGGTTTGAGGTGTTTGTTGAAATGGTAAAGCAGCAATCAAAAGTAAGTATTTTGATTTCATCATCTCCACGGGGATTTGTGCGATACTAAATGTCATTCAACGGTCTCTATGATCTTAAGCTTGGGTTTTGTTTCTTATGTATTAAAGTTGTAAAATGTAAAACGAATGAAAGAAAAATATAAAGCTTCGGAGAGATACGAGAGCTTATCAGGACCAAATTTCATCCACCAGTTAAACATGTAATTTACTAATCAGTTATGCCTAATGGAAACACTTATCAATATCATCACGTATCGTTCACATGAGTATGCATGTATGCCATGCTAGCGAGAGTTTTACAATTTTGTTTAATCGATGATCTTTCAGCCTATCAAACAACGGGAAGCATTAAGACTCGATACTCACGTGAATGTTAAAACTAAATCTATGTTTAGAATTTAGAATCCAATAGATGATTATCCTATATCTATATTCGAAGAGTGTTTCTCAACCACGGTTCAAATCAAAAGTAAACAGGTAAGCGAGGATAACATCGAATACTAACGCGTGAATAAATCATAAAAAATGCCATGCTTAATAAAAATAAATATTTTTACAGTGAACTTACACACAATTCCAACAAGAAAGATAAACAGAGAAGAAGGAAGATGAACAAGCATCCATTGCAATTTCCAAATGATTGATGCGGATCGAGCTCCGGATCTTTAAGATGCAACCTTTATTGTTGTTTTCTAAGCCTATATCACTCCTAACTAAAAATGGTGGCATCTGAAGTGTAATAATATTCAGAGCCTGCCAACAAAAATGGTATGAGTTTCTATTTATACAAAACTAAAATTTTCTTGTCTCGCTCGGAGAAAGTCACTTTATTGGCCATCAATAAGTCTAATGAATATGAAACCGCCCTTAGAGAATATCTACATTTTCCCGACGACCAACATCTTGCCCAGTGAACTCATGTTCGCCAACCTTTGTCAGGTGACCATAATGCAGTTTTGCCTCTGCCTCTGCAGTGATTTGTCTCACTTTTTGCTCGCCAGAGCTTTCCTGGCGAGCTCGCTTTTTGGTCGCCAACTCTCTCTCTCTCTCTCTCGACGACCATTCTTATTTTCAACCTCTTTGGCTTTGCTCTAGTTTATTGGTTTTGTGCCCTTATTCTTTCCTTTCCTTCACACTTAGCACACACATCAAGGATACCAAAGATAAATGAAAAATGTATAACATTGTATAAAAACTTGGGGAAATTAATCATTGAAAATCGCAAATTAGAGCCGAAAAATGCCAAGTTCTAATGTACAAAGTTAGTCAAATTTTGAACTTATCAGACTCTCCACAACTTAAAACTTTTTTGTCCTCAAATAATTGTTAATCAAACCTAAAGAAACAATACCAACTACCAAGAAATCATGATTAACAATTTTCAAAAATGAAGACAAATGTATGGTTCAATTTGCAAAAGCACAAGCAAAGTGATGCTTACCACTATACTACAACGACACCATGATCATGAAACAAATTCTAAGCACAAAACATATGTCAAAATTCCAAAGCAATACAACTTCAAATATTAATCACACCAAACACACAACTCCATCAATGGATGAAAAACAAACATGAGGGACTTGACTTACACACAACAATCTTGCTAACATCATAATCAAATTATGAATTCATCCATAAAATTCATATTGAAAGCATAAAAACACAAATCACAAGGACTTCAAGGGTTGTAATGTGGCTTGGTTAACAAAGAAAGATAATTTCTTAAGGTAATTGAAACAAAAATAATGCCTAACAAATGAGAGTGATCACATCTCAAATTCTCAAACATTCATAACTTCTTTTACCTTTTTCTATTTGCTCAATTGTTACCCCATTTCACACAACTTATTAGCATAAACTTCTTCTTATTTTTCACTTTTATTTTCTTTCTTCTTTCAAAAAAAAATTCTTTTTCTTTCTCAACCTCTAAGCAATCCACCTTTTTCTCCCCAACTTGAATACAACCAATCATTATAATATGAATGCTCCCAAACTTTCTAAGGCATCTTTGAAGGTTCA